CTGTCGCCCGACGGTCGGTCTTTCAGATGTGCGGATGACAGATATGCGGACCACAGACGCAATATTTTCTTGTTTAAGTGTGCTTAAAAAAGTAATGGTCATCTAATGAGGGGTTTTGCTTAGAAGAAGTCATTCAGGGTACCCAACCTCAACTTGGAACTCAACCAAATCTTAAGTTCATTGGTTTGTTGCTCTCCAATAGCTAAACAATTATACTTCTTCATTAATTCTTTATCATCTCCAATCATATTCCATGTTTTCACTCAATTAGCTTCTTTCTTCAACTTCAATTATAGAGTGAACGATATATTTTGTGAACCCTACACAAATATATGCAACTTTAAATACAAACTTTTGCTCCTTTCATATGTTTAATCATAATATATTATCATGATTTTGTATGTTTTTTTTTTTTTCTATCTAAATATTTTTTTAAAATTGATTTTGTATGTTTTTTTTTTTTTCTATCTAAATATTTTTTTAAAATAATTCAAAATTTATCTTTTTCTTGTGAAAGAGGTGGTAGAGAACCTTAATATAATTTAGCTATTAATTTCTATTCTAGTTGTTATTAAGGCTCGGAATCAAATAGGTTTTATTTTTTATTTATTTTTATTTTTTAATTTATGTTTTAATTTGTAGCAAAATATATTTAAAACATTCAATTAATATATAAATATTTTTATAAATATTCAAAACATCTAAATATTAGTTTAAATATTTCCAATAGCATGTTAATTTATTTTTGAAATTGAGGATAAGAAAATTTATACACATTCACAAACATTACATTGGCACTTTCCGCATTTATAAAATCATTAAAGAAATAGCTGATATTATTCCTGAACCCCCCCTGGCCACTTCAACATGCAAATATTCTCATTGTCAGAGGTGAAATTAGAAAAAAAAATTATTTAATTATAAAAAAGATAAAAATATAGTATGTGTAAATATCAATATATAATTATCAAAATAATAAGTGGTCAAATTATTTTTTTGGCCAAAATAGGACCTCATTTCATACCCAAACTAAAAATCATAGTATGTTCATACATGGCTTTAATTAACATCAGACATGTATGAATTTAAAAAAAATATATATATGGAATTGGATTTCTTGATTTATATCTAAATTTGACTTAAATTTGGATAAAATTGAATTTTAATCATGAATTTTTTTTTATTGTATTATTTTTCAAATAATTCAATAAATATAAGTTCTCATCCGGTCAGATTTAAAGCAATATACTTTTAACTCAAATTTTTTTTTAAATTATGCAATGCTCATAAATAGTAAAAAATATTACATCGAGACTCTGGATGCATTCGGAGTCCACTGGTCGCGTGTCAAGCGAGCCCTACCATTCTTAACACTGACAAATACTAGTGTATTACGATGGGGCCCGCTTTAAATGTGGCGCCTCACTATTGAACTCCTAATTCAAATTACGTCAAGAGATTCCTGATGTAATATTATCTCGACAAAGGGTGTGCTCAGAGTCCATAGAACTGTTTTTGTGTGACGTGGAGAAGGAATAATCCACATGAATCTTTCATTTTTTGGGCCGGGCCTGACACGAAGGCCATTTATGCCTAAACTAAAGCCATGGATGCATAAGTTCATATAAAATAAGCAGCCAACAATTCTACCAAGAACTCCTAAAATCGGCTCTAATTAAATCAAACGAGCCTCATTTTTTACAAACCTAAAGTTAAAATAATTGGTTAAATTAAAAGAATTTGATCAACATAAGCTAACACAATTTTATGACATTAATATAAGTTAAAAAATTATATTATCATTAAGAAATAAGACTAAATAGCTCATATTTATTCAAAATTAAGAGCTTCAATTTCTATTGGGTTTTTAAGAGCAATTAAAAAACTTTGTAAAATATAAAAAAATAAAAGAAATTTATTTAATATAAAATTAAGAGCTCCATTTTTATCAAAACTTCAGAAGCAAACACTAATGAATCTCTTGCGAGATTTCATATAAATCCATGTCTCTTGAAATGTTATATTTCAAAGATTAAGGTACTATATAATTTAACACAAACCTAGTATTCATAAGCTCCAATTCTACACATACAATTAACTTATCATCATATCTACATATCAGTTGAGCTTCTTCACTAATTTTAATACGAATTTCTATTAATATTATGAAAAAAATCATTCAAATTACTTGAGTTCTTACTAACATAAATATGATATTTCACTAAAAATTTATTGTAATATTCAAATTTAAAAGTAATTTAATAATTTTCAATATATTTTAAAATATTTGAAATTACTGAAGACTACTTATATCATTTTAAAAATTTAGTTAGGATTGCAAGTTTGGATACTTCTGACGAATTTAAATTATAATTATTTAAATTGAATTGATAAAACATACAAAAAATACTTTTTTTTTATTTTTTAAAATTTAATTTGACATTAGTACCCCAAATAGTCATATATGAATAAATTTATTTAATTATAATAAATTATACTTATTCAAATAAAATCATAAATTATATTATTTTTTTATTATTTAATATGATTTGAATTATTTTTTAGCAATTAAAAATATACTCTAATATGCCTTTTTTAATAGTAAGATATGAAAAGGGTAAAATACAATCTGCTTTATATACATAATATTGTCGTTTCAATATGGACCTCAAGTTATTGGAAACATATAATTAAGGAAAAATTTACATACATACAAATCTGAGGTCTAATTTGATAAAAAATTGAAGCATTTACATACATACAACACAATTTTTTAATATTTACCTATCTCACCCCTAAACTTTCATATTTACACGCACAGAACTAAAATCTTTAATATCACGTAAAAAATAGCATTCTCTAAAAGCAAAATCCACCTTTTCATGCATAGATTTAAAGCACTAAAGAGCTATGTTTGTAAATAAAAAAGTTTAGATATGAAATATGTAAATACATAATGATTGTGTGCTATGTATGAATGGAGCATTTTGGAATATTTCACTGTTTCGTAATAAATAAATAAAATTCTATTACGACCCAGGTGAGGTGAGGTGAGATATGATGACGTCCGTATTCCCCCTTTGCACGTAAAAAGAAAAATTTAGTGATTATGTCCGGGCGACCGTCGTGATACGTATTCCCTCTTCGTTGTATCACGGCCGTCGCCCGAACGCAGCTCGGCGTCCGGACGAATTCTATCTTGGTTTAATTTCAAGTGTGAAATGATTTATATTTTGATATACCAAATGATGGTGGTGGCTTGAACTCTATGCTCTGAACAAATACATGAGTGATGCATCACCCTCCAAAGAAAACTCATTTGTCTATGAGTTGGTTTGTTTCTGCTTTCTCATTTTTATTTGGGTGTAATTTTCTTTCTGATTTTTGAATTTTCATACACATATCTAAACTTTCATATTTGTAATTCTTCTTACAAACAACATATTAGTATTTTTCTATTTGTAATTGTATTTATACATATACTACTTGTGATTATTTTTTATCTATTCATCTTTCTTATATTTACATTTTTACATCATTTATATCATATTTAATTAAATTTATTTATTATATTAACATTTGATTTAGGGTCTGTTTGAGGCAGCTGCAGCTTATTGAATAATCTGCTCATAAGTTAGGTACGATATCTATTACAAACTTTTATTTTATTTTTTTTTGAAAAAGTCAGACTGTTGTCAAAAAGCTACAACCGCAGCTAGATAGGTGCAGTGTGAAAACACTGTTTTCAGCGTTTTGAAAACGCATAAGCTGTCAAAACGCAGTTTACCTAAACATGTCATTTGTATTTTTAACGTCACCGCATCAAATAAGCTGCCCCAAACAGACCCTTAACCTCGATAGAAACAATAAATTTTATATATTTTCTTCTTGTAATTTGATGTCTGACCAAATTTTCGCAACCTTTACATGAAAAAATATATGTAGTATGTTAGAGCTTTAATCAACAACAAACTTAATCTATATAGATTTGATAAACCCAATTTACAATCTCATCATTAAAAATACAAATAAATTCCGCAAATCGCATCTCACATGCTCTCAATAGAATGGAAGTCAAACCTTTCAGCGCACGAATTTCAACATATACCCCCAATACACATGGATGAAGATTCATCCATCGATTTTTAACCCAAATTTCATTTTTATAAAATTTTATATATACGAAGATTTCCATACATACCTCCCAATTCTTATGTATTTACATATTTAACATCAAAACTTCAATGTTTATATACATGCCACCTTTACTGCACATGGAAGGGTGTATTTCACATTTATAAAATTAATATGATGGTATTTCTTATATGGTACGAAAGGTTTGCAAGTGAGAAAAGCAATTAGCCTAAGATAACATACTTGGATCTCTCTCTCTCTCTCTCTCTCTCTCTCTCTCTCTCTCTCTCTCTCTCTCTCTCTCTCTCTCTCTCTCTCTCTCTCTCTCTCTCTCTCTCTCTCTCTCTCTCTCTCTCTCTCTCTCTCTCTATATATATATATATATTATTGATTTTTTTATGTATCATAGTTTTCTTTAGGCCTTTTTAGTAATTTATTTTGCATCATTAATGTATGAGCTACAGGTTTGAATTAAAATAATTAGCCTACTACTTATTTGCAATTCTCACATAAATTATTAAATTAACAGCATTCATGCAATTGCTTTTCGGCAAGTTTTCTTCCTTCCCAAACCTCGTTAGCTCCAAGGCCTAACTTCGTGTAAATTTTTATCAAAAATAATAATTTATTAATGCAATATTATATCGTAAAATTCAAGCAATAAATCGCGTCCATTTTTGTTTTTCTTATGAAAGATTCAGTTTTGAAATGTACAGTTAATAGGAACGAGATTAGATCTTAACAGTATTTAATACTTTACGCTTTACCTCAGAGTTAAGTGAGGATTAAAATAGATGATATAATAAATATTTAATTTATTTTAATGTTATTTAAATCATATTATAGTTAATTAACAATGATCCACCTTATATTATCTCACAACACATTATTAGTTCAATCCTCCAAAAAAAATGGAGCCATTCCAAATCTCTCCCACACCAAATACACCCAAAAAGGCATGCACGACTGCACAAAGAGATGAAACACAAGATCTTCTTCGCCTCCTCCAAGCTCTCCGTCTACTTCCTCATCACCTCCGTCTCCCTCCTCATCACCCTATTCCAAATCCAACTAATCAAACACCCCTCCTCCTCTCCTCTCACTCCCATCTTCCTCCCTCTCAAAGATCTCACCTTTGCAACCACCCCCATGGACGGCAACACCTGGTTCATGAGCTCCCTTAACGACACCTTCGAAGACGGCGAAGCAGAGCACCTTCTCTTCCCCTCCCCATCTTTCCATCACAACCTCCTCCTCTGCTTCTCCGGCCGTCACAGATCCAACGGCACTAAAAACTCCTACGCCCTGGCACCACACCATTCCCTCCCAAGCGGCGCCAAACTCTTCAAAGGTCTCACCTTTATCTCCGACAGCTACTACGATTACGAGAATCTCTGGCACGGGCTCTCTGCAATGGTGCCCTTCCTAGCGTGGCACAGCAGTAATGGTTGCGAGAAACCGGAGCGCTGGCTGCTTTACCATTGGGGTGAGCTCAGGGTTGAGATGAGTCCATGGGTGAGGATGTTGGTCGAAGCGGTGATGGGAGAAAAGGTGAGGATTGAGGATTTGGAGGAAAAAGGGGAAGGGTTATTCTGTTTTGAGAGAGCGTTGGTGTTCAGACATAATGAAGGATCGATGGGGATGAAGAGGAAGAATATGGTTTATGATATGATGAGGTGCAAGGCTAGGGCTTTCTGCGGTTTGGGAAGTGGGGGAGGAGAAGGCCATGGAATGGTGAGGGTGACCTTGTTGATGAGGAAGGGAGCGAGGTCTTTTAAAGATGAGGAGATGGTGGCGAGGATTTTTGACAGGGAGTGTGGGAAGGTTGAAGGCTGCAGGTTGAAGGTGATGAGGCCAAATAATCTCAGCTTTTGCGATCAGGTAAAGCCGCCTTTTTTGGCTTTAGCATGTTTGTAATTCGTTTTGAGAAAATCTTAATCAAGTCAATGATATCATTATGTACCTGTAACAAAAAGTTGTAACCAAGCAGGTGAAGCTGATGGCAGAAACGGATGTCCTGGCTTCTCCTCATGGAGCTCAGCTCACAAACATGTTCTTCATGGACAAGAACAGCAGAGTAATGGAGTTCTTCCCCAAGGGATGGAAGGAGTTCGCCGGTGTTGGTCAGTATGTTTTCCAGTGGATCGCGAAAGCCTCCGGCATCAAGCACCAGGGTCCCTGGCATGATAGCAATGCTGATACATGCCCATATACTGACAATTCAAGGTGTTTTGGGTTCTACAAGAACGGTCAGATTGGGCATGATCAAGCTTACTTCACTAATTGGACGGCCATGGTTATCAGGGATATGAGGGAGTATAAGCTCACGGAGGAGTACAGACATGCACAGCAGGAGTTGAGATCAAGGAAGTGCCTCTGTACCACCTAATTGCCCGGAATGATGGCTTGAAATTCTTCTCCTGAATCATATTTCCATGTTTTGTGTTGATTAAGAATAAATGCAGAGAAATTACAGAAATAAAAACAAACTTGCATTGAGATCTTGGAAAAAATGGGATGGGAGGCATCATTTTTTTGCATTTTACTTCTCTTGTTTGCCTTTCCATTTCCTTCAAATCTTCCATAATTTCCAAGCAGTAAACATCATTTGTAGATAAATAAAACTCTAATGAGATAAAACTCTTCATGTGGTCATAGATGGAGGTAGATGGAGGTGACTATCATTGAACACTATACTTCCTTTATATTCCTTTCTAGTCATTCTCCCTACAGATTACCATTTCTTTAAACTCAGTTCTTTTATTGCTCCAAGGTTCACAATTCTTCCTAACAATTAATATTAGAGCAAAGTTCGTTTTAGAGCATACAAGAAAAGTAATGCCATATGAATATGGAATGTCAAGATTGTCGGGAAATAATTTTTTTATGCCCCATGCTGAATTGGTAGATATTAAGAGTTATATGCCCCTGACTAAGAGAAGAATATTGATTTTAACATATTGCATGAGAAGGCTGCATTTGATATGATGAAAGATTTATGACAAATATGCAATAAATCTTCCACTATAAATAAGGTATATCTGAGAACCTAAAAAGCTGCTAGGCTTAGGTTTTTAAATATATCATGCCTTGGATGAATGAACTCACATGGCCACAATAATAATGCACTCGAGTAATTTTATTTAAATGGAGTCTCCATGGTTTGTTTCCATCAATCTTGCCTTTAGTAGTAAGGGCTAGTAGGCAAGTGATTCTTTCTCCACAAATAACCCAAGGGGCTCAATGTTTTACGTCCGATTAAAAGCACCTGATTACAACCACAAGGGCTTTGTACTCTAGAAGAAAATGAATGAAAATGTCAGAGTTTATCATGAGATTTCGGGTCAAAATTTTAGAAGGCAGATTAAACGAGAGATAAGACACTATCCAGAGATTTCGCTCTCATTTTACAAGGATTTTAAGATAGATGGTTTGAGGCTTCCCATAGGTGCAAACTCCATGGTTAATTACCCCTCCCAATAATAGGAGAATAATTTTCATTAATACTAGTCATTAGGAAGCAAATTGAACAATACATAGTAACAATAGAATTAAGATTTAATTTATTAAATTATCACCTTGAGCATAGAGTGGATGGGGGGAGAAACAATAATGAACCCGATCAAATTCTCATAATTCTGCTGTCCCGGGTTATCCTAGACTCTTATCTACTTAGTCAAAGGAGATTGTAGACCCAACCAGACAGAAAAAATCTTGTCAGTAACTATGTGTTGCTTTAGTTGCTTTGTCCAAGAGAATCTTATAGACTTAGGATGAATGTTTGTCTAAGAGGACAAATCTAAGATGACCTTAGATTATAAAGATATTATATCAGGTATATCCTAAAATTCACAATTCAAAAAGGACAATATCATTAGGGAACATACGGGCTACACTCATGACAAACCATCCAATTCTAGTCATAATTATTTTTTTTATGTCGTTTGATGACAAAGTAGACAGAAGACTTGAGCCACATCTTTACTATAAATAATTATTTTAAGTTTGAATTTAATAGTATAATTGATATATCATTTATTTTTGTAACTTTGAGTCAATATTAGCTTTGAAATTCTCAACAAATGATTGTGGAAGCGGGTATGATTTTGCACTTAACTTTTTTAGTGATAGAATTTTCATCTAAATATTATTGAATTGTTATATTTGAAATTTTAATATTTATAAATAGACCCTCTGCAGTTGAAATTCACATTCAACACGATCATCATCGAAGATTTAAAAAATTTTAAACAAAGAATTAGGTTCATAAAATAAATTAATTAATTTTGCTTAAATATTTTTTGAGCTTAAATTGAAATATAGACCTCTTTGCTTTAAATTTACATTAAACATGACTATCATCGGAGATTTAGATGATCTTGAATCTTGTCTGTTCTGCTTATAGCGATCGAATTCATAACCTAAATCAATAGCATCACAACTAAGTTTGAAAAACTTGATTAAATAATTTAGCAAAATGAACAACACCAGGATTCAAAAATCATCTCAGTAGAAATAATTGTATCAACATCAACAGGGGAGAGCCTATAATGGTACATGTCCACATAACCAAAAGAACATTATGTGTGGAGAAATATTATATTCGAGTTCCGGATGTAGAATTATATTTGGATGCCAATTCTATGAAGACACGTGGCCGGACCCCACTAACCTCAAAAATAAGGAAGAAACAACGCAATTTGAGTCTCAAAACAGTTACCCGGCCTGAAATAATTATTACAACAAGGGTTTATCATTTACTGCCGCTCATTTTATAGTGAGAAAAATTAAAAATTTACATGATTTAGAATTAAGGAAACAATAGGTGGATAAAATAAAATTGGATTCAGAATTCTGAAGATAAAATTTGTTCTGAATGTAGAAAGAATGGCGAGTGTGTCGAACTATAACCGACAGAATGCCGACAATATTTTAGATTTCAACTTTTTGTTAATTTTCTAACATAATGCATAAATAATATTTTTTTAGTGATAAACTTTTCATCTAAATATTATTAAAATTTGAAATTTGAAATTTTAATTTTTATAATTAGTCCCTCTGCAATTGAAATTCACATTCAACGCGATCATCATTGAAGATTTAGAAAATTTTAAACAAAGAATTAGGTTCATAATATAAATTAATTAATTTTGCTTAAATATTTTTTTGAGCTTAAATTGAAATTTAGACTCCTCTGCTTTAAATTTATATTCAACATGGCTATCATCGGAGATTTAGATACTCTTGAATCTTGAATGTTCTGCTTACAGATGATCGAATTCATAACCTAAACAATAGCATCACAACTAGGTTTGAAAAACTTTAGCAAAATGAACAACACCAGGATTCAAAAATCATCTCAGTAGAAATAACTGTATCAACACCAACAGTGGAGAGTCTATCATGATACATGTCCACATAACCAAAAGAATATTACGTCTGGAGAAATATTATATTCGACTTATGGATGTAGAATTACGTTAGGATGCCAATTCTACAAAGACACATGATTGGACCCCACTAACCTCAAAAATAAGGAAGAAAAAATGAAATTTGAGCCTGAAACAGGTACCCGACCTGAAATAATTATTACAACAAGGGTTTATCATTTACCGCCGCTCATTTTATAGTGGGAAAAATTAAAAATTTACATGATTTAGAGAAGATAAAATTTGTTCTGAATGTAGAAAGAATGACGAGTTTGTCGAACAATAACCAACAGAATGCCGACAATATTTTAGATTTCAACTTTTTGATAATTTTCTAACATAATGCATAAATAATATTTTTTTATATAATGCTGAATAGTTTTTTATGGTGTTATAAGTTATATTTCTGCAATAAAATTTTAATTTTATGATAATTTATGACAATATATTAGGAGTGTCCTTTTTAATCCTGAAAAAAAAACCCTGTACTTATCTATAACATAAGCTGAAATCATTTTTTTATATTATTTCAGGTTACCTTGCGTTAGAAAAATGATGATTTTACGCAGCTCTTGTTCAATAAAATAGATGTACATTGTCTCAATTCTAAAGAAAAACTTAAAATTAACTACATTCATAACCAAAATTCAATGTTTTGTGTTATTTTAGGTTAACTTCCATTACAAATATTTAAATCTTGTTACATTTTCTTGTACTTAAATAGATACTTGAACCAAAAGCTCAAATCATCATTTACTATATTTAGATTAGCTTTGTTTAAAAAAAAATTAAATTTTAGGCAATTCTTTGTCCATAAAGTAGACATGTATTGTCTCATTTCTGGAGGGAAACATATAATTAATTATCTTTAAAAATTAAAATCAACCTTTTATGTTATTTATGTTACCTTTCTTTAGAAATATTTTGACTTTATTATATAGTTTTGCCCTTTTAAGTAGAGTTATACTTCTTAAACTCTGAAGAAAATTCTTATATTTACGTGAACCAAATACTCAAATAATTATTTCTTTTTTATATATTTTAGGTTGGCTTTGTTTAGAAAACTTTTGATTTTAGGCCATTCTTGTTCACTAAATTAGATGTGTGTTATCTACTTTTGAAGAGAAACCTATAATTAACTACCTGTAAAAGCAAAAAATCAATGTTATATTATTTTAGGTTATTTTTCCTTGAAAATATTTTGACTTAATCCCTAAACTCTAAAGAAAAAAAACTACATTTACTTAAACCAATAGTTAAAATCATTCTTTCATCAAGTTTTAGGTTTGTTTAAAAAAAATATGATTTTATTTTATCTCTAGTATTGAATATCATGTGAAAAATGTGTAGATGTGCCAAAATGATGCAATCCTAAAGTATTATAAACAAACTATAGACAAACTATTTGCTACTATTGTTCACAATGAAAATGAGACATGATTTGCATTGTGTTTATGCACACCATACAAGATTTAATGTGAGGAAGAAACATGTCAGTTACTGACCAAATTCAAAAAATATAAAATCATAGAACTTCATGTGCGTTATATCTAGTTTTAAAAGAGAGAATAATAAAATTTCAAAATTCATACACCATATGTGGTTGCTCAACCATAATTAGCTATGAAATTGGCCCTAATGAAAATTGAAAGAAAAAAAAAATTATAGAAAGTTATAATAATTCATTAATAAAATCAAGTGATCAACACCTTTTAAGGTTCAGCAGGGGCCGCCGTGAAGAGAAAGGAGATGTGTTGAAGTCATGACGGAAGCAGGAATTGGAACTACCGATGCGTTGACTATCTTGCTATGGAAATAGACAAAGTAGAGAATATGACATTTTCTAAAAGAGGCGCATTCAATTTTATTTAAAAGAAAGAGAATTGAAAATGGAGATGGTAATTCTCGAATGTAACTTTTCACAAAAAGATAAGACTAAAGATATTATATTTGTGTGGGATGTTGATTATGATTGTTTTGGGGATAACATAATTTTTTACAAAATTTCCATCTTAATAAGTATAACTTGCTGTGTTCACTTTATGTTGGAGCTTAACTAACGCTAGCAAAATGTTTTATTAGGAATAGCTTTCTTATAGATGAGACAATTAATTCATTCAAACGGTTATTTAGAGCATTTCATATAATGGATCCCAAACATCTTTTAACGATATTTACTAATCTAGATCAAGCAATAACAAGAGCTATAGAAGATGTATTGTCGTGAACTCGTCATAAATTTTGTTAGTGTCATATATCTAAGGAAATTCTCTTAAAAGCATATTGTTTCGATAGTACCAAAACAATTCAGAATTTATTATATGCATGTTTGAGTGCATGTGATTCAGAAGCAAAGTTTGACCAAACAATAAATAAAGTGATGGAAAAATTGAATCTTCATAAACATGAATAGTTAGACCAGCTATATAAAATTTAAAATAAAAGGCCAACAGCATTCAATAAAGATTTGTTTTGCATGAGAATCTAGATTAGTGAGTCTATGAATAATAATTGTTATGGTATCTCTAAGCTTACTAGTTTTATTAGTGAGCGTCTTTTAAGAATGAAAAAAATCATGTCTTTATGGTGACAAAATAAATATGATGAGTATTTCAAATGCAATCAATCTGCAATTATTCTAATTGTTAAAGGCAACTCCGTGTTGAACCAAGCAGTTGCATTCCATTCAAAAAAGTTGTATGTATTTTTTGAAGAGGAATTTCTACATGGTGTCAGTGGGCTAGCCATGAAAGTATCGAATGATAATCCCACAAAATATTATATAAAAAATTTAGAGAGTAAATGAGCATACAAAACTTGGACTATTAATTTTCATAAAACTGTGTTTGATATAAGTTGTAATCGCAGAAATTTTGAAATGATGAGATTACTGTGTGCTCTTTGCATTGTAAGCCATGAAAATATAGCATTAGTGATGATTACAATGATTGGAAAGAGTTCTAAGCTTTGGAATGGTTCTTCAAGTGGTCTCATATTTCGAAACCACATCAAAAATTTTTCATACCGAATAGGCATGAGGGCAAAAGGCAATAAATTAGCCAAATAGTATAAATTGGAGACATTGAATAAATTGTCCCACGAAGTTGAGTTAATATTACATGGGAATTTGCCTCCACTCGAACATACGCCTAAGAAAAAAAACTGAACATAAAGATTGCACTGTCAAATTGAAAGATCCGATTAAGATGCGACCAAAAGTTGTTTCTAATGTCTGATTGAAGGGTCAATGTGAATAAAAGAAGAGTTAACGGTAAAAATTGGTAGGACATAATTAATATTTTCATTTTCTAAACATTTTTCCTGAAAAAAATCAGCCTAAAACTTCATAAAAAATATCATTTTAGCTAGTGCCATAAATTAAGTTGAACATAGATGAATTAAGTTGATATGTCATACTTTAAAACTATGGGAGAGTGTAATTAAACATAGGTTAAGACGTTATATAAATCTTTCCCATAATCAGTTTAGATTTATGCCAGACAGGTTTACCATAGAAGCTATGCATTTATTGAGAGGTTTGATAGAGAAGTACAGAGAGAATAAGAAGGATCTAAAGGATCTACATATTGATTTAGAAAAAACTTACGATAAGGTTCCAAGAGAAGTTCTTTGGAGAGTTCTAGAGATGAAAGGTGTTGATATGACTTATATGAAAGGTGTTGATATTGAAAGGTGTTGATATGACTTATATTCAAGTTTTTAAAAGTTATGTATACTAGAGTTGTTACTTGTGTTTGAACAGAACGGAAGGAGGCCTGACCGAGTATTTTCTATTTCAGTTGGATTACATCAGCGATCAACTTTAAGCCCATAACTTTTGGCTTTAGTTATGGATGCTCTTAGTGGACATTTAAAGGAGGATGTACCTTGGTGTATGCTTTTCG